GGTAGGGGGAGGGAGGGAGGAAGAGAGGGAGGGAGGAAGGGAGGGAGGGAGATGCCTTGGCTGCACCAGCCATGTGTCATATGCACAGAGTAGCTACAAGCAGATGCGGCTGTGGTTACCATACTGAATGGATAGTGAAAATATGGAATATTTTCATTATCACCAAAGGTTCTGTTGGCTTAATGACCAATGAAAGAGGACAACCAAACATTATGAATGATGAAATATAAATTCAAGTACTGTTAGGATGAAAATCTACCTTTATACATTAGGCACATAACCTGAATGCCCACATAGATAATATTCAGAGTGTGGGGCGGGGCACACTTCCTAACCTATGTGACAGTGCAGAGGTTAAGTACACGCCAGCAATAACTTCAGTCTTTAAGGTTCCAGGTCCAGGACTCTAAGATAGACACTGATAAGGACTTTCCACCCTGAAGGACACATGCATGGTTAAGATATGACTTCCTGTCTCCATTGTGGTTCAGAAGGGGCTGGTGAGAAAGTTCATAAAGCACCAGTGACTGATTTTCCCCCGGGGTTCTTGTTCAAGAACCAGCTGACACACAGCTGTTCCCCAATCCTGCCACCTTAGTGATACGGTGGACAAGACAGCTCAGCCTGCTGGGCTGTGACCATAGGCAGAGGACCAGAGAGAAACAGAAAGTCTTGCCACCTAACCCTGGAAATTTGACTAGCAGAGGCAGGAACAATTAGACAGATTAACCAGAAACTTAGCTTGTGTATCTGTGGCACAGCTTTCAAAGCTCTTACTGTCTAAGAAGAAAGGCCACAAGACACATAGACAGCAAGATCCAGCATGTGAGAAACATCAGATTCTTGAGCCAAGATATGAGCGGTGATAGTCTAAGATAACCACCTCCTGGAAATGTATGAAATAAGACAACACCACTGAAATCCAAACTAGTCTCTCTATCTGTTTAAAATAGAAACCCAAAGTCACTTGATCAGCTTCTCATGTGGTCCCTCAGCTCCAGAGTCTGGGAATCATACTGTAAGCTTTCATTTTCCCTCAAGGTAAAGTGCCAGAGAGAGCATCATATTGGCAAGTATTTTCCACTGGACTAAAAGGGAATCAGAATAGCCCCATGTGTGCTATGGTAAAGGCCTAGAATGGAAACTGAGCACCCCCAAAATATTCTCCTATTGCCCAAAATTGCTCTCAAAGAGTTGGGAGATTAAAGAGGTTTGTCTTCAGCAAAGGGGATATGTATGGCGAGTCAGAAGTATTTCTGATTGCAGGAACAAAGCCAGCTTCACACAGAAAAATAACTATCAAAATAAACAGTGGCAAGGTTTAGAAGGCACAAAGTCTAGCTGGACCTTGGTAAGCTGGTCCCTACCCTCCTTCTAGCCAAAATCTCCTCCCTAGAAGTCTCAGTTATGTAAAAACAATGAACACAAGACAGGGGACATAAAAACTAGACTTGGTGGTGCTTGCCCGGAATCCCACAGCATTTAGGAGGCTGAGGCAGGAGGATCATATTCAAAGAGATCCTTGTCAAAGAGAGAGACTGAGAAAGAGGAGGGGGCAGGAAGAAGGAGGAGAAGAAAGAAGAAGAAAATAGAAAGAACCACACTCAAAATTTCATAGTTGGTAGAAAACACTACATTAAGAGCTAGGTTCAGAAAGACAAATACCAAAGACCACATAGTCTTTCTCATATGCAGATCCTGGCTTCTACTTCTTATATATGTGTATCTATTAGGAATGAGTGTGGGAATAGGTTATGAAAACCATAAAGGTGACTGTGAGGGAGGAAAAAGAGGTATAAGGGAAAGGTCAGGAGACACAGTAACAGAACACACGCAATACAAATACTGGAGGCAAAAGGGTACAAGCTGGAGGGAGAGGGAGACAAGAGAGACAAAGGAAAATCAACCAAAAAAAGTACGTTTGAAAATGCCAAAGAACCCCATTACTTTGTATGCTAAT